GAAACAGCTGCCTTGTGCTGGAGTGCCAGACGTGCTAGAAATAAATTGAGGACTTCATTGACTTTAGATGAATTATGCTGAATGGCCAGATACTGTAGGAATCACAGCTCCATCTAGAGCAGATAAAACTTTCGGTTACTGCTGGCTCACTAATTTCAAACCCCGAGAGTGGTTCTCTGATGTAGACTGCCTGGGATTTTGAGCTGCAATAACAAACTCCTACAATTTCTAATACTAATGCTTTCTTTCTACTCAAATCCAGGCAGCTTATTTGGCTTCATGACGAGCATGCCCTTAAAGGGAGACCATGACAAAAATGTATAAAACTTGTATTTATCTTCAGAAAATAATCAGTAAATATATTACTAGTGGCTATTGATGCATGCACACGTAGATTTCTCTTTATAAGCCTGTGTCAAATAAATCTGGGCAAACCTTTTTCCTAGGCATATCTATAATGATTTTTCATTTTACCAAGTTTGTCTAACATGTCCAGTCCCAGTAGTACTAATTTTGAAGGGTAGGAGCCCAGTAATACCAGCCAATAATACTAGAATTTCAGATTTTCGAGTGGAAGGTAAGCAACAGAGATAGCAGATAAAGAAGATTAAATTGCATGAAAGCCTAATGGACATACAGTACATAATTTAAAAAAAAACAACAGGTAGGATTTCTTAGCACTTTCATCACAGCAGTTTACAGAGCAGGTATCATGATACACTTTTTAAATATCAGGAGACTGGGGAAAGGGGGTAAAAAACCAAGAGAAGAGTTAAGAAACAAGCATGGGAGCTTAGTTTTCCCAGCTCCAGCTCTGTGGTCTAGGAGCAAGTGTTTGTTTTAATTTATGCAAAAGTAAATTATGTAAGATATCTTTTGTTCCTGGCAAAAGATATTGCAAAGAATATCCTGATTTCTGGCAAAGCAGATATGTGATATGTGTTCCGATGAGGTCTGTATTTCTCAAAAATGGTGGAGAGAAGTGAAAAGGGATTTTCTAATGCTGAATGATCATGGAATTTCAAAGTAGACTTTTTGAATTACAGCAAGCCTTATAATTTTCAAAGCTAATAGCAATAGAAAACCATGCATTTAGTTTGAAATGACTTCTCAGATTTTCTGTATATATTGATATTTGGACATCTGCTAAAATGTGAATGTTGCATAATCCTTTGGGGGAAATTGTTTTTGTGCTAAAATGCTTATTTGTCTAAAAAATATTTACCAGAACTTTGTTTTTTTGCTGTTCTTGCTCTTAAATTATTCAAAAAACAAGTCAACAAAGTCCCCTTTTAAATACAAAGAAAAGATTGACATTTTTATGACAAATTAGGGAGCAGAATAACAAAATTGTAGTTTTACACTCTATTCAGTGGCAGTTGATTTCTTTTTTAGCTACATTTTAATGCTCTCCTTATTTTACACTCATTTATGGTAATGCTACATGTATCTGTAGGCTTGTATAGAGTTACAGCTGAGACTTAGCAAAGAAATTTGTTTCCTTGTAATAGAATCTAGGTTGATGTGCCTTCATTTTTCACTAAAACAAAGCCAGAAGAACTTTGTTTTATTGAGTTTATAATCTTCCTTACCCTGCGATAAAGCAGTTCCCAAATGTTAAGAGACTAATTAATGTCATTTTGTGTAAATGTGTTTCTCCAATTGTATAACTGACTTTTTCCATAAGATTATAAAGGTAAAGACCTTCTATCAAATACGATATTTCCTGCCCTTGCCTAAAGTGCTCAAGTTCTAGCCACGAGCACATTTCTCCATGTGACATCTGGCAATTATTTCTCTAGGGTTCTGCAAGAAGAGCTCCATTTTCGTATCTTAACATGAAATTTAGAAAGTGCGCCTGACGCCACCTGTGGAAATTCCGATTTTTTTAGAGTCATATTCTGAAAACGCCAAAATGATACTTCTGTGTTTCACAGAACCAGCCACTACGCTGATGCGAGAAGAACAACATAACTACTCCCTGCCTTGAGGGCTTTCCTATGTGGCACGTCGCAGGTGTACGTTCTGCCCTCCCTCTATTGAAAAAGTAGCCGTAGCAATTGCTGGAGAATGAGGCCGGGCCTGGCTAGGTTTCCACGAGGCCACTGACAACGCCTCAGAGATCTCTTTCGGATCGGATGGCACAGGAGGTCTCTTTCCCAGCAGCGCCGAGGCCTCCGGGCACAAGGGGAGGGCTCAGCAGGGGTGAGGGGAGGCTTGGGCCTTGCCTGGGCTGGCAGTGCTACCCAGGAAGCAACCAGGATCTACAAGAAGCTATCAGGCGCCGCAAGGCTCGACAGTTCCCTCTTTTACATCTCCTCCTGGCCAGGAATTTGAAACGTTTCGTCTCGAACGGAACACCAGCGTTGGTCTGGCTTGGTCCCTGCTGGACACGCTGACCTGTGGGAGCGCTGGCAGGGGGATGGAGCTCGGAAGCCCCCACCCGCCGTGGGGCGGGCTGGTGGCCCCTCAGGCCTGGGCTGCAGCCGCCCCGCAAGCTGCACGTTCATTTCCAGGCGCGGGCCACAGGGTTGGGTTTGATCTGTAGAAGTCCTCCGCGGTTCACGTCTCGGGTGGCGCGGAGGCGGTTCCGTCCTGGCGGTTGAGGTGGGCGGCAGGTCTGTGCTGGCAGGGCTGGCGTCCTCAGCCCGGGCCCCCCCAGCCCGCTCCTCTGTGCTGGCGGGCAGCAGTCAGGCAGCCGGGCCTGGCCGCTGCGCTGCGAGTCCGCGCGGTTTTGCAGGCGACTTCTGAGCCTGTGGGACGAGCGGGAGACGTTTGAGTAGGAAGCTCTTTCTCTTCGCGGTGGTGGGGTTTTGTTTGTGTAAATTTAGGATATGGCTTTCCCCCAGCATTGACGTTCTTTATTGGAAATCAAAGTTCACTCTACTAGTATGCGTAGAAAAAACATTGGAAAGGCGGGATTGGTTTCTTTATCATCCCCACATCTAAAAGCGTAAGTGGATTTGTTGTGGAAACACTGGGACACAGGAGAGCTTTCCTCATTTCTTGGCTGTGTCTTGGACTCCCTGAGGGACCCTAGACATTTGTAAAGGGGGTATAATATTGCTTATCAATAGAGTATGAGGAAAAAAAAAAATCACTTTTGTGTTCTCAGTACTGTTACAGAGCAGCACTGGGAACTGTGAATAAACTTCTAATGAATAGAAAATACAGTGTACTTTTTGAGACTAAAGAACATCATCTTATAGATTTTGAAGAGAGAGATATCAGGCTCTCCGGTCTGGCTTCTGTGATGAAACAGTGGTTTCAAATACTGCTATTTATTTCTATTAGTTGGTCCACAAGTATTGTCAAAATTCAGTGTTTACCTAATTTTAAGGGTAGTGTGTGAAGTGGAGGTTTGTCTTTTGCTTAAGGTAGGGAGTCTGCTAAATAGGACGGGATCTGTAAAATTTGTATACCAAGATAGATTCCCTCTCTGACCTTTGCCAAGCCTCTAAGACAAATCTAGTGACATTTTAGAGGTCTAAATTGTAGCCTCAGGCAGGCCTGCCTCTGTTGCTTATATTTAATCTCATTTGCGCAGTATTTGCCATGAAACTGCAGATGCTTAGGCTCCAGTGTATTTAGGCTGTATTTAGGTTTCCAGTTAACACTAATGTCCACATTTCTATTGTTATCCAAGTTAGTTAATCTAAAGCTGGTGAGCGTATGGCTACCCTCAGTGCAGGTACACTTTATGGAAGTGTAGGCAGAGCGTTAATATCTTTACATTTTATTTCTTGCTGGTTATTCGGTGGAAATAAGACCAATCCCTTCCCATGCAGGTTATTGTGAGGATAGATGTATGACTGTAGTATAATGGGGGTTGCAGAGGTACCTCAAATAGCTAGTCTAGTGTGAAATCTTCAGAATATATCCCTGTACGTGTTGTGCATCCCTGGAACTGGAAACAACTTCAAACTCTCACAGTTTTCTGTATTCAAATATATTCACTCCCAAATTACCTTAACTAACAAGTTTTGCACTGCTATCTTTTAGAACTTTGTTTTATCATGTGTGACTCGCAAATCAGTCTTAAAAACCTGTGCAAAGCTGGAACCATTGGAAATTGTCTCTTTCCTCTAATTCTCATCTCGCAGAAACTCAGCCTGAGGCTGCTTGTGTGGCTTTTACTCATTTGACCTATGGCACCAAGTGGTGGCCGTAATCAGAGAGGGATGTTCCCCTAACTGCAATATTAATTGTAATGGTAGCTTTAATCCTTTTCAAGTTTACATCATTTATTGATGGCTTGTTTCTCTTGTGACTGTAAAAAATGTTTAAGACCACTTCCCCAGATGACATTTTTGCACTCTCCCCTCTGCACAGATGCCCCCATCTGAATCTGTCTTTCTGTGACTGTCTCTGAGCGCTTTGGGATGGGAAATTTGTCCATATGGTCCCACTCACTGCCCTGTGGAATTGGAGGGTTGGCATTAGCGAAAGAGACCAACATCATGGCCACTCATTTTCCTTGAATGTCCTGGAAAACATGGGATGAAAACATGGTGAAACCATGCAGGTTCCACACAAACAGGGAATTCACTTGAAATGCCTGACAAATAGCCACATCCAGCCCTCCCGTGCTGTGCAAAGGGATCTAGGATACAAACAAGGACCTCGTACTACCTTTTTCATCCTTAATGCTGTATGACTGTCCTATGAGTTTCCAAACATTTTATAACTGAAAATCAACCATACTTAACTTACCATTTATTATTATCTGTGCATATTATGGTACACATAAAAATGTATGTGTGCATATATGTATATATATATGTACATGCTTACAGTAGATTTTGCATTATAATGTGTTTTACTCTCTATAGTGTACAAGATGCTTTCATGACAAATGGTAATAGCATTTTCCAGCTTATGCTGGGTTTTACACCAATAGAATGATAATTGAGAATCTCAGACATAAAATAATCAATCATGAAAAATGATATTCATTGTATTACAGTCAAATGGACTGGTTTATTTTGTTTCACTCCTAGGGGGGCAAGATTCCTATCCGATGGACATCACCAGAAGCCATTGCGTATCGGAAGTTCACATCAGCCAGTGACGCATGGAGCTATGGGATTGTTCTCTGGGAGGTGATGTCTTATGGAGAGAGACCATACTGGGAGATGTCCAACCAGGATGTGAGTATATTGTTATCTGAGTTACGTTCTCAAATAAAGGATCAAGCTGTGAAAGGAAGCGAAGCATAATGAAACCAGGTGGCTCCGAGTTTTTGATGTTGACATTGAATAAGATATAAAAATGAAAATCTCAAAATCTCCCTGGTCAAGTAAAAGTTCTAATGAACTTAAAAAAAAGCCAACAACTTTATAGCAGGGTATTTTGGACCTCTGAAGGAACATATTAGAGAATTTTATCATGCTGGTGGTTTTCTGTAGGATGATTCAAACAATTCCACTGCAATGAGGTCATTGCCTTTTACATTCCTTAGCTTATTGTTAGAAAACTCTCCCAAATTTCCGATGATCCCCTTTGGTTCCAATTGTATAATATTCTGTAGAAGTTTTCTGTAAATGTCAAATGCACAGAATAAATTGTTCTTGGCTCTTGTGAAAAAGAGAAGCAAAGCATTTCTACCAAGAGTTTAAAGAAACCAAAATACTTCTGGAAGTAATCAACGGGTAAAATAGAGAAGTAGAGTGATCTGATTAGAAGACTTCCAATACAGGCTTCTTTGCAACATTAGTAAACTATCCAAGCCTGCAATCCAAATGATTAATGGATCTCTCCCAGTATTTTTCTAAGCAGCATAACGTTTCCCCAAATAAGATTTTTATTATATCTGTTTCTGTTCTTTTTCTGTTGTCTTATTAATCCTAGATTTATTCCACATGAGTTACTTATGAACCAAATTTTCTTAGGTACAGTCAGTAACACAAATGGATTTTCCAAGGGGTTGGTATATATTGTTACTAGCACTAAATTAAAAAGTCAGTAACATAGTTGTAGTCAGACATTTTCTATACTACTTTATGTTAAACAAGAAAAAAGAGAAGAAAACTTATTTTCAAATGAGTACCTCTGGTTCACAAGTCTCTGCAAAAAACTATATATTTCTTTTAATTAGTCATGAACGTTTTTTCTATTGTTTGTGGAGATTAATGAATCATTACGTAGGCTGATATACTAGTAGAATGCCTTTAATAACATCACATTAAAATCAGAAACAGAAGAATTAACCTATTTATATGCCTCTGCTTCATGGCTGCTTAAACCATGGACTGTTTTCCTATCCCTGTTCTGATTCGGAGTAGTTTGTCCTGCTTTTGAATTAACTGATCCACATTAAAAAAAAAAAGATTAACAGAATATGGCTTTATAATTTTCTCCTTAGAATACATTGGGGTTTTATTCATGGTGCAATAGATGCTGTAGGACTGATCAAGAGGTATTCTACTCTAGTGAAAGTGTTCTATTAAAAAACTTCATAAGAGTGTAAATTCTAGGCATTTTTTTTTTTGTCAATCTAGAAAAATTATAGACAATCTAGACAAATTTTGTCAATCTAGACAAATGATAAAAGAATTGGGCCTGCACTGCCCAGTAGGAAGTGTACCATTATCTTCGTGCTAAGTTTTAAAAATATTTTCTGGCACTGTGAGATCATCCACAAGACCTTCTATCTATCAGTTCAGGATATCCCGTGAGAGGATAGGTTGGTTTTGTGCCCAGTGCAGTGTCCACTAGAGAGTGTGGAAAGCATGTGTTGCTAAGGGTGATCAGACGACAGATATTCAAGACCTTTTGAAGTTTGGCATAGTTAAGCAAGCACCTTACTAACTGTAGCTATTGTTTATGGATTTAGTTCAATCAAGTGTGACTTTTGGAGATCCTTTCTAGACTCTCACCTTCCTCAAAGTCACATACTGTATCTTAACTCCCCTTTATGTATGCCTAATTTACTGCCTGGTTTACTTTGCAGATAAACCAGCGGCATTGCATGACAAGACAATTAGTGAATAAACACATTTGTTTAAACACAGAATGTCCATGTTAATGTGGTTCACAGAACTGATAAAAAACAAGTTAAGTGCCTTTAAGTTTTCAAAAACTTTTATCCTTGTGCAGGTGATTAAGGCTGTTGATGAAGGGTACCGCTTGCCACCTCCTATGGACTGCCCAGCTGCCTTGTATCAGCTGATGCTGGACTGTTGGCAGAAAGACAGAAACAACAGACCCAAGTTTGAGCAGATTGTCAGCATCCTGGATAAACTGATCCGTAATCCCAGCAGTCTGAAAATAATCACCAATGCGGCAGCAAGGTGACATATTAGATCTTACATTGCATATAAATAAATGTCTTTGATTTCTTCATCTTCCATAATTAGAATTTGTTTACTTTTGTTCACCCACTTCTTAAACTTTCAACTGCAGCTCTTTGTAATCTTGAAAGCTAGAGAAATCTTCCTAACTATCCCTTTGGGAGAAAGATTTTATTATTATTGTTGTTGTTGTTGTTATGATTATTATTATTACTGTTATTACTGTTATTTTTATTAATGATTTGCTATTATTTATTCAGATTGTGAAAAGCTGTTATGCTAGGGTTATGAAACCCATTGTAAGATTGAGCAGAGGTTTGTGAGAAAAACACAGACGGGACAGTTGGCCATCATGTGATCTTCCTTTTCCTTCTGACCTTAGGTGGTATTTTAAGCACTTAGTGTTTCATAGGTTACAGCCATTGTTCCTAAGTATCTTCCTTAATTGGGTCCAAACACATATCTTACATTCTTATGCTCCACTCTGACAAGTCACCTTAACTTTAATCATATGAATAATCTTTTTGGTTTCAGTAGGAATCACAAACTGAAATGCACTTACATTCCTTGTTAGATCAATGCCTTAACTAGGAATTAATTTTCAACCTGTGCAATATTCCTAATTGCATTAAAAACAATCATTTATAATCCCGGTTATTCAATGCGCTCTGGAACTTCACTATGATGAGTTAGGAGTCATCTCATTGAGGGAGGGTAACTGAAGAGTGTGTTGACACCTAAGGGCATAATGAGGATGTGGTGAGAGAAGAGCTTTGGTTAAGTAGAGTTTAAGTGAACTGGTTTATATAATGCACAAAATATTATACTCTTACTGCAGTGACATAAAAGATGTAAAATTACTTTTAGCATGAATGCTAATGCAAAATCCTCTGTCCACAAAGCAGGCAGAGTCAGGGAGAAATGCACACTGCTCCTCTGCTTCTTCAGACCCAGGTCTTGGAGGGTGTTTTGGTGGGCAAGAGATCAGAGTCTGACACAAGGCAAGCTTCAAAAAGGGACACAGCAAAACTTTTCTTTCAGCCCTTTACTAGTAACATGGCACACTTCTCGCCACAGCAATCAAATGGGAAGGCACAGAAGGGAAAGGGAGCTAAGGCAGTCAGAAGAACCACATCGATACTGTAGCCTGCTGTGCAGGTGACATGGACCTTGCCTCCTTTTTGCTGGCCGGTGGCATTGTGTTGCATCCTGAGCTAGAGGCTGGCCATTCTAATTACCTCCTACTGCCACTCCAGAGATGTGAAAAAGCAAGCAGAGATGGGAGGAGGAAGGCAGCCATACTAATGGGCTTTGTTTCTAAAAATAGATAATGACAGAAGACTGCTTGCATAGTATTTATGTTTCAATAATTTAATTGGTGAGCATTTAACACATAGTAAACCAACACACTTACAAAAGCAATTATTTCTGTTACCTGCCAGGTAACAGAAAACAAAAAAAAAAACCCAAAGTTTTTGGGAAAAAACCCAACTGTTTAAACACTACCTTCTCAGTCAAGCACATTTCTTCTAAACATCTTGCACCTCTATTTGGCAACTGATTGGTGCAAATAATTATTTTGTAGGGACATACTGCAGTAATCTGCTGAATAGGGGAGTTGGGAATCATGACTGTCACGTTTTGGTTTGGGGATTTGATTGTAGAAACCAGTGCTGCATATTTTGCATTCCAAACAGAAGCAAAATGTTCCTGTTTACTGTCCTTCCAATTAGGGAGTTGAACCACAGCAGAGCTGAAAACAATGTTGAACCGTTATTTTCAGTTACCTGTTCATAGCCAGTAAAAGCTGATATCCTCTAATGGAGACCAAATTCATTCTGAGTACTGTTTGCACCTGCTGGATTCTGCACAGAGCACCACAGTGCACTATTGCTCTCCTCCGTCTCTCTCTTGCTCTCTTTGCTCTTATTCCAATTATATGCTTTACTGGTGCAGGCAGCAGAGGCTACACATCCATACCACGATGCCATGCTCTCTGCTCATGGGACAGCCTGGGGAAGGAAGGAGGCTGCTATCATGGTAGGGGACTTCTCACAGCTGCTTTAGGTGAGCTCTCCGTAAAATGCTCCCCATGGCAGGCTGCTGCTTTGGCTTTGATATGGAGCATATTTCTGAGGAGGGGAATGTCAAAGGTGATTTTTATTGACTCCTTCCCAATTACCTTTCTGCTGCTATGTCCTTGCACCCTTTGCATTCCCAAGCAGTGCAGTATCTCTCCCTCTCTGCAGCTTTTCACCCCCTGGTGACAGATGGGTGCTGTGGGGTCTGGGTGGTGGCTTAAACTTGAGTACAACCAAGATTTAGGTATGACAATGTGAGGGGTGCTGGGCAGTCCTATGCAGATTTGGAAATCCGTGATCACCCCCATGTAACCATTGCCAAAACTGACTAATCTCAAACCTCAGACCTAGCTGAAAAGCTGCAGCCAGCTCCCCACCTGCTTCGTGCCCTGCAGAGCGGCACTGCTGGCAGGTAACGTGTGCTCCTTCTGCAGCCGGTGGTGCTGCTGGCCAGGGACTGAGTGCTGGAGGTCCAGCATCGCTTTCTGACAGACTGACAGAGAAAAAATGAGAAGGCAGACTTAAAATGGGTTTGGGTCTTGCTGTAGCCTTACATGCAGAAATATGTAACTGATACGAAAGGGCGGTGAGTCAGGGCAGCTCCTCAAGGAGACGTGCGCTCAGATCCCTGCCGGTACCCTTGTACTGTCAGCAGCTGGAGAGGGACCGGCATCGCTGCAGAGGTAAAGCACTCTGCGACTGATCCCTGAGGGCTCGGGGGATTACATCGGCTCAAATGGCTGCTTTCAGTTGTTATTTGAGGCTGTAGTACTCCTGCAGCATCTCTCCTCACATCCGTAATAAGCAATTAATCTAAATTATAGAGGTCCCAGCTCTCTCTTACCCATGTCTGTGATGCTACTGGAAAAATGCTAAAACTTTATGCCCACCATATGCTCATAGGTGTTCAGAATATACTTCGTCAGGAAAAATGTTTAACCTGCCGATGTCTGTTGCAGATGCAAAGTCTATCTCTTCTTACAGATTTTAGGGCTGATGTTTGTTTAAAATGGTCACAGTGCTGTTGTATCCTATTTAAAAGCACATTGCTGGAGGTGCATACGATATCCCTGTCCTCTGGTACATTACTGTTAACTGACTTCAACTGAAGGATGTGCTTGACTATACGTCTGATTCCAGGCCATAGCCCAGGCACGTTTTACACTAATACCTCATAGGAAAACAGGAGAGGAGTCAAAGCCTTCAATTCTCCATTTCCTTTTCAGTTTTCTATCCCTTCTGGCTGGCCACTCCATGGCATCTAGTAATTTCTTGATACCCAAGGGGATGTTTTTATCCTTATTGATCATTTCTTCACAGGCTGTTCTACATGCTTGTGAACCCTACATTGACAAAAGGTTTTTGTAACCTCAGCACAGCAAACGTTTCATAATACCTTTCCTGGTGTTGTGTTTCATCTTGAATTCACATGAAAATTCTTTTCCTATTCCTTGTAAAGTACATAGTATGGCTGATTTCTTTCTTACCTGTCAAAATTCAATTTTTCATCAGGTGGCCACCTTGAGCTCTTGCTAACAAGACCTGCACTGGTTATGGGCACATGGGTGTTTTGTGTCCTTTAGGCTGCCTGGAGTTACCTAGCTCTGTAAAGGGCTGTAGGAACAGAACTCAATACACAAAAAGTTGTACAAGTCATGCAGTTTTCTAAAGCACAACCTCATGATATTTTTATTTGATTTATGTCTTGCTGTTCTTTCCTGTTTTCTGAGCATGATATTCATTTTTATAACAGAGTCCTTAGGTTGTTTGGATATCTTTAGGGTGGAAGTGAGTTCATAGTTCTTCCAGTTTTGATCAAGTTCATTATTTTTCTTCTTGAGCTTATTATTTTTTAGTCCTCTGTGTATTACTTCACATTTGTGAACACTTCATGCAGATACAAAGCAGATGGAAAGTTTTCTCAACTTGAGTGGGAGAGACAGAATCACTTCACCCACCTGCTAGCCAGTTGGCGAGGCTGTGGTCTGAAAGGGCTTATTAGCTGTTGTTTCGTTTGCGTGGGAAAAAAATGTAACCCAAGAGTCACGCAACTGGAAATGCTTTGTATACACTAAAAAACTTAATTGGACTCATAACCTTTCATTTTCTTTACTTGTTTATTTTTTTCTCTCACTTATTTATATTTCTGATTTTTTTTTTGTATTTTTATTTCTGATTCTGATCTTTTATATATATACATATAATGATGGTTCTCTAGAGTTACAATGTGTGTATATGTATATGAACGTTACTCTTACACAGCCATTTAAAAATATATATTTAAAACATAGCGTTAGAAAGATATAGATTAGATAGATTAGAAATATATTTAAAGCATTTCTGTGTCCTGAAGTGAATTAAGCTGTTGGAGGATAGTGTGACCTTGAGGTATAAGGGTTTGTGATATGGGATTCAGGCAAGCCAAGTCTTATGGAAGTTTTCCTGTAGTTGCTGTGTATATTCACATCTGTGACGTAGGTATGACTAAAGATGCTTAGTCTTCATGAACCTGCTGTAAAACAGGAATAGTCGAGTTAATCCACAGCCTCTGCCAAGAAAAAGCATTTGAAAAAAATGGAAAAATGTTTCTAATTCCAACACATGAGTTTTAGAAGTTCTGAATTTCTGCCAGGTCTGTGACTGATTTCAAAACTGACAAGAAATCCACACCAAAAAAACAACCTGCCCTGTATTTGCTTTTGTTTCTGTATAACCTTTTGGTAAAGTGAAAGTCAGTGTCAAGTATTGCTGCTGTTGTTTCTTGATACTGCAAGCATATATTTAGGAGAGAAGGAAAGAATTACATTGCAAACAAGGGGAGAAAGCCACCTGAGAATTCAGGGTATTACTTTAGTAAGTGGTCTGTAACCATTTTTTTGTGTGTTTCTAGCTGTATTAATAGCTATATCTAAGTGCAAG